AAAGAGAAAATAAAAATTAAGTAGAAGCTGGAGAATCAAACAAAGGGAGGAGACAGGACAGGAGTGATTATCAATAATAGTATAATGTTTATCACAAGTAGTTGTCTTGTCTACTAACTTTAAATTATCCTAATCTTAATAAGAAGAAAAGACATGTGTGGATAGGAATAGGAGAAGGAAATAATATTAAAGCCAACCCTTTTATTATTCATAAACACCAAAAGCAGATTCCAATATTATATTAGAGATCAAGTTAGGTCTTCTTCCATTGTACACAAACTATATATTTTATAATTTTAAACCTAATTTGTGGGTGCTTCATTTGCATCTTTATTTCACACACAAAAAAAATAATAATAATAATAAAAAAAAAAATCCAACAATCTCGTACTTGTTTCTCAAATATGAGTTTGAAACTATAGTCACCACCGAGCACTATAATTCACGTTTGAAACTGAATTTCCTATAAAACATTACAGTATTTGGAAACGAAAAATAATGACCTTTAGTCATGCAAGTGTTGGGAGGAGACTGCTAACCTAATTTTTTAGTTGAACGATTGTATACAACGTATAAAATGAACTATAAATTTGATAATATCATCAATTTATTTATTTATTTTTGGTTTTATAAAAATGTAATAGTTAGGGAGGTTCAAAGTTAGTGTAGTAAATAATAATAAATTAGATTACAAGGACTAGAACGGGCAAACAAACGTTATAAATGAAAAGAACAATTAATCAATTAAAATTGTAGGGTAGATGTCCCACAATTGCATATTAAAACAACAAGACAAAAAGGAACATACCTTATAATATGAGTTTTAATGTAGACTTAGCACCAGAAAAGATGACTTTTAGTAATAATAACTTAATAATAATAATATAAGCTCCTAATCTACAACAAACGGTTCATATTTGGTTCATAATTCTTATTTAATTTAATTTAAACCCTTTCTTTTTTGTTATCTTTGTTTAATGAATCTAATATTGGTTAAACAGTACTGTCATATAACCACCGGTTCTCGAATAAGGACACTTGTTTTCCATGTGGTGAGAATGATATTAGTCTAATTGGGCCCTTGGACATACTTGATGCTGGCTTCTGTCAAATTTAGTATTATTTTTTCTTTTCTTTTCTTTATTTATTTTTTATTACCTAAAATAGTTTGAAATAGACTCCTCTTCTGTGCGGAAATCCTAAAGTCTTTAACGGATCAAAGATGAGTAAAAGCTAATAACTGGTTGTTAATCACCACTGGGTAGTCTAGGATCTAATATTATCTTCCAAGTTTGAATCCCCTTGATTGTAAAAAAGCAAGACGATGATCTAACATAATATTTCAAGTTCGAGTCCCCTTGATGGTAAAAAAACAAAAGGAGGATCTAATATGGTCTTCTAAGTTCGAGTCTTCACAATTGCTAATAGGGTGACGATTGAAGCTCTTACTCGATTGATAGTTTTAAGATCTTGGAGAATTAGTTGAGGTGTGTGTAAACTGTCACATACACTCTCAGTCATTAAAAAATAAATAATAATAACGGGTGGTTTAAATTTAATTTGCATATTAAAGATTTCAGAACGTCCTCACCTGAGTATTTTCCCATATAATTCATATCAAATACGTAATTTTCACTTGGTAAATCAAATGAAGGAATATAAGTGGCCCCCAAATGGGAAAGATAAGGTAATTTTAATTTGACCATTGATTGGAGGTTAAAAGGTAATGGAAAAAAGAGATTAAAGTGGAAGGAAATTTTGGGTGCGAGAGGACAGAAAGCTAATAGGTAAAATAGGCAGCCAGTTGTGTGACACATGATTGCAATAAAAATGAAAAAGAAAGGGGCAAAATGGCTCACCAAAGTGATTCACGCTTAGGGATGGCTACACAAATTGATTGTAATGTGGTGGGTCGATAGTCAATTTATGAAAAAAGCCAATTGACACGGCGTAATTTGTCTCTAATTGAGATTCTGGTGAGGGTCTTTATTGAGTTGTTGGGGATTGGGCATGGTATTTAAGGCAAATTTAATAATTGATTGGACATCACCCGTGGGCTTTTCTTGATAATTGAGATTATAATTTTGTTAACACTAGGGATATACTATACACTATACATGTCTCGCCCTACCCACCGACTCCATTATGTTTTTCACCCGTAGACTATTTATGTGACATAAATTCTTTAATATAAAAAGTTTATTCATAAAAATATAAGTTTAATAGATTTTTTATCCTTTAAATATAAATTAAAGAGTGAGTTTGACTCTTTACTTATAGAGAATCAAATTTTACTATTTATTCTAAATTTAATTAATAAACTACAAGTTTTTATGTATTTTATTTATTAATCTTCTCTCCTATTAAGTCTATTTCTTGAAAATAAAGAGCATCTTCATTAAATTTAAAGAGTATTGAATTTGAATAAGAATTTGTTCTTTATATTTAGAAATCAATGAAGATACTTTTTATTTATATAAAAGATGCTCTTTAAAATAAAGAGCATAATTGGAGATGCTCTAACAACAGTTGGTGACACAATACATGAGTTCTTTGAGAAAAATATAGGCACCGTTAGGCAGATTATTTGAAAAATATTATTCTTAAAAACTATTTTAAATTGAGTTAAGTTAAATTAAATCGAATTGAATCATATTCTGAAAATGTGTTTGGTAAAATATCTGAAAAATACATTCAGAGTTTGATAAAATGTTAAATAATTTGAAATGACCAGATCTCTGGCCGTAGATATGGCCGTTCTATGGTGGATCTAGCTGGAAACGACAAGATCGACTTATAAACGGCCAGATTCGGTCGGTTGTGCGTTGTTTCGGCCACGGCGGTGGCCGGCGACCAGCGTTCGTTGCTGGTAGGCAATGGTGGTCTTGAGTGAATTAATTTTCAAATTGGAATGAGTGAAAAATAATTGATTTAGTTGAATTGAGTTGAAAAAATATTTTGAATTGAATAGAATAGGATAATAGAAAACAAGTCCCACCCACTTTTCATTTTGAGACCAAAAATCCTATTTGAATTATTAATTTTCTGAATGAATTGACCTAACACATATTTTGTTTTTTAATCCAAACAAGATACCAGAAAATTGTTCCAAATAGTGTAACAAACAGGGGCATAAAGTGCCTTTGGCAAAACATGTAGTTGTGGTGTTGGGAATTTCACTGTACAATCTGTAATTTTTCTTTTTTCCTCAAACCATGGTTGTCTGAATTGCGTATCATATCATATATCAAAAATCTAATTTTTTAAATCGTGTATCGCGTATCGTATCGTAATATAAAATAATAATAATAATAAAAATTTTCTAAAAATTAATATCATCTCCAAGATTAATTAACGAATTTTGTAGTATTATTCGCTTTAAATTATGGCATTATATAATCAAAATTAATCATAAAATTAAGAATCTATATTATTTTTTCTCAACCATTCATATCATTTTCAAGATTAATGTCAATATCTATATCTTCACTTGTGTTATTATTATCATACAAAATGGGCAACACATTTTCCTCTTTCACTTTCTCCATACAAAATGGGTAAATTTGGCTGGATTTTAGTGAATTGGGTTGGGTGACCCTGATCCTGCCCGATTTTTTTTTGGACATTCGACCCAAATTAATAAAGTCGTATCGATATTTTTAAGGATATGAACCGATACGTATCGTATCATAAGATACATATCAACGTATCGAAAGGTTCAAGATACGCCCTCTAATACGTATCGTTGGCGAGTCGTATCGAATCATATCGTAGAATACGTATTGCATTTCATAGGGTATTAATAACCATGTCAATGTTGTCAAATCACATATTGTATCGTGTATCGAAAACCTAATTTTTTGAATTGTGTATCGCGTATCATATCATACCGTAGAATACGTCTTTTTGAAAAAAATAATAAAATAATAAATTTTTCCTAAAAATTAATATCATCCCCAAGATTAATTAACGAATTTGTAGTATTATTGGCTTTAAATTATAACATTACATAATCAAAATTAATCACAAAATTAAAAATTGATATTTTTTTTTTCAACTATTCATATCATTTCTAAGATCAATGTCAATATCTATATCTGCACTCATGTTATTATTATTATGCAAAATGAGCAATATATTTTCCTCTTCACCTTCTCCATGCAAAATAAATAAATTTGGATGAGTTTTAGTAAACCGGGTTGAGTGACCCCGATTTGACCTGAAAACTTTTTTGAGCCTTTAACTCGAATTAATAAAGTCGTATCGATTTGTATCAATATTTTTAAGAATACGAACCGATACGTATTGTATTATAGGATACATATCGATGTATCGAAAGGTTTATGATACTTTCTGATACGTATAATTAATGATCCGTATCGAATCATATATATATATATCGCATATTGATTGATAAGAACAATCATGAACCATATCAAACACTAGTAGATTTTTATTTCTTTGTTTTTTTTATTTTTAATTGATTCTCTTGACTAGTGTGCAATTATGCACTAATTTTCAAGGTTGTGCATGTTTGTTTCACGCACCCAAAAAAAAAAAAAAAAAGGTATTGCTGCCAAATTAAGGTAAGAGCAATAAATTTGATTAAAAAGAGAGGCATTTATGCATGCGCAAAATATTGCTTTTGAAAACTCTAGCCACTGAGTCACGCCTATCATAAATTTTATTACCACAAAATCCTTTGAACTTCCACATTTTCCATAATAGTCAATAAAGACTCTGAAAAAGAAAACTCAACAGAGCCTCGTCCACCTACCACCCACTCCACTATCACTCCTTTTTAAACAAATATTCCAAAAGTTTCTGCAATTTTCTTGCTTTAAACAATCATAACATAAACAACATCATCGTCATGAAAATTTTTCAAATCATATACAGGGATTTCAACCCAATTACAAGGGGCTTCAATTTCAAGTTTCAACATACAAAATAGAATTTTTTTGTTTTTGTTTTTGTTTTTTCTACTTTTACACCACACCTCAATCTCCAATACTGGTCAGTTTGCATAAATTACTACTACATTTTCTAAATTCAAGGGAACAAAAGGAACCCTTCTTCCAAACAACTTTTGACTATATATTTTTTTCACCATCCACATGAAGAAACAGAAGACTAAATTAGGAAAGAAAAAAAAAGATAAATAAAAAAGGTAGGGAATGGGAAGTAATAGAAACAGTTTAATTTAATTATTTCCCACCACCCTAAAAATAATTCATTGTTGAAGTGAAATGATAAGAGTCACACCTGGGTGTTTGTTTGACCTTCAAAAAGCTGATTGATTAGCTTAAAAAACTTTGCTTTTGTTTCTTGTTTTCTTGCCATTGTCAAAAGGTGGAGTGGACACCACCACGCTTGTCCTATGGTAGGCAAAGTATCCCACTGAGATCTTCCACCCTTTTTACATTACTACTAGTCCTTTTCACTCAGGTTTTGGAACTCTTCTTTGTCTATCATCTCTTTCAATAGTAAAAGCCTGCTATTTTCTTCTTCATTTCTTTCTCTCTTTTTTTTTTTTTTTGACATCTTTTTTTTTTTTTACCCTGCAATTCAAAGATAGAATTTACTGTTAAACTTGTATAAAAACACTTGGGGAGATGTAAAATATTATATATATGCACAAAACTCTAAGAGAGAATATAAGTCAACAATTTATGTGAAATCTTTAGAATCTAGTCCTTGTTATCACTTTCTCTTCTTTTAGAACAAATGAACAGTAGTTATTACCTTTTGTTCTCTACTTTTTTTTCATTTAATTCTTGAGTATTTACAGTAAGTAAATGATAAATAATGAACATGAGATGAGATAATGACTTGTGAACTCAAGTGTCCTGGGTATGATTTGCAAAGAATGGTAAAACACATATTAATAAAAGATGCCATGTCAGGTGGTTTTTTTTTTATATGACAGGGAGTGTCTGAGTCAGCTTACACGTATTTCAATTAATCGTCCGAGACCTTGAAACTATCTGTCGGATAAAAACTTTAGTAGCTACTCTTACTAGCACTCGAGAAGAGATCGAACTCAGGATCTCTTGAGTACCCAAGAGTTCCTATCGAACCACTCGTCTAATGTTATCATTAATTAGGAAGCTGGGGAGAATGATTTGTACTAGCAACCAAAATATGTAATCAAACTTCATATTAAAAAATGGAAACTTAATCTTCTCTACAGATGATCTTGAACACCTTGGTCCCACTAAATAAGATCTAATGATTGGAATCTAATCTTCATAATTTGTATTTTGACATGGCAAAATATCAAGAGTTTGCTTCTCTGTATTAAAGAGAATTGAATAAAGGGGACCATTCCCTTCTAGCTTAAGCAAGAATACGGACTCTTAAGCAAGAAATGCATGGAGGAGCACAAGCGACGTGTATAAAATTAATTAATCAATCAAAATTATATAATAAATGTCTAAGGACCAAGGAAGAAACAGGAAGGGCACCTGCCAAATCATGATGGATGGATGCATTTAAGAACACAAGGACATTGAAGTAATTTGAGAAAAGAGAAATTTTCATTTGATAATTTTATTTTTGCAAAATTTACCCCATCACCTAGTGGTGTATGCAGAGCTTTGCGATTGAAAAAGGCCAAAGGGGGTCATTGGTGGAGACTTTATTCCGGACCACGGATGATTTGGTTCTATGTTGAATAACCAAAATACCCCCTTGAATGATTCTTGAAGGTTTACTATAATTTTCAGAAATGACCACAAAAGTGGTAAACCAGTGTCGGTAGGCCGACCACGATTGAAACAATGTTCCCCACATAAACTATTTCATGAATCACTTAACTTATTCTGTTAATTAAGAACAACTACTACATAGCATAAAGTTTTCTTTCTTGAATTAAAGAAGTGACATGACAAGCCCACGAGGGTTTACTATTACACAAGATGACAATTCTAATACTTGCTCGTGATAATTCATCTTCAACAGGAAATCAAACTCATGGTTTTTAACTCAAGTCTTGAAAATTCTAGTACTTATAATTTCAAAAAATCCCTTTTAGAGTTCATTTTATGTATAGACTTTAGCTGGTATATATATAGGCATCAAAATAAACAGTTAAAATTGTTATCGAAAGAAAAAAAGTTACCTTTTGCAATAAAGTCTAGGTGGGTTTGGGAGTGGCTTGCTTGAAAGCAACAGTGGGAGCTATTCTGCAACTCCTCCTCTGATGCTCAAGCACAAGTTCATTGGCGAACCAATCGAGTTTCTCGAAATTGCTTTGCTCAGCAATCCTTTTACCTCCAAACAGCACTGATTCAACGTTTTTCTGCTTCAGCATTTCCTCTGCTATTCCCACCAGCATCTTTACATTGCTGGGACTAGGGTCTGTATCAACATTAGGTCCGCACGGGGCCACACTGGACCCATTTGCCTGAGACACCAAAAATTAATAGGAAATGAGTCTTGCATACACACCAACCTATTGATTGAAAAACATTGTATCCACATTTCAAACAATTTGACTTTACAGTCTGATTGGTCCACACCAAGATTTAAGGACTCAGATTAAACATATTTTAAGTGTAATCAAAACCACATAATCTATCACTTAGGCAAAACAGTTCACGTGGACCATTGTTAGAGAAGCTGTAAAAACAGTAACAGGAGTAAATTTGCCACAAAAGGTGTGCCAATGGCAGTATTATCCACTTAGTTACAAAGAAAAGGAAAACTAGAAAAATAGCACTATCCGTTACAGCGTATTTCCAGATAGTTTTCCATATTAAGAGGCCAGAACACATCAGATTGAAGGGAAACTGCTCCTTCTTTCTTTAAATTTCAGGTTTCTAATATTAGGTGATACAAGAACGGCAAAATTAGAGATCATATTCTGGTACACTTGACAGCGCATAAAGTGTTCCATAAGCAGCTCTAACAATGAAGACTAAAGGATAATTATAGTAAGACTGTTCCCCTCAAAATATCAAGATCAATCATGGATGACATTGTATGACCACTCATCGCTTTCCCTTGTCCTAATTCCTAACAGCTCCAACCTCCAGCTATCCACCAATCCTACCCAACTTACTGCAAAGACCCCTAGCCAAAATATCTCCACAAATATTTTCTTTTAAACTAACCCTGCTAATATATTGGCACAAAAATACATTGTTGTATTTGCGTATTTTTTTTTTTTTCATACATTATCCTAACGTTGCAGCTGTAGCTGAGACTAAGGCTCTAAAATTGGAGTTTGCTAAACATTTGAGACAACAATTTTTTTCCCCCAGTCAATTATGGAAAATGAATATGGGATTAACTGTAAAGTTGGACTTTTCAAATTTGCCCGCATTGAGTGAAAATTCCTGGTCAGAAGACAAAAAGGGCGACAGAAAGAAATATTGACCAAAAATTGGAATTTAAAGGCTGAAGTGCCTTATTTACCTCTGATTAAGGCGTTAACTGACATTTTGACCAAAAGACACAGAATCCTTAAAGCGTGGAGCATGCTAAAATGCACCTGATGTTAACTTTGGTAAACTTAAACACAAAGGATCTCTCAATTCTCAAGTCTCGAGCCAACCAAGAAGAGAAAAAAAACCACAGGTTAGCAACAAAAGAAGCGCCATTAACCCCAAAAACCATTTCATGGTACCCAACACGACAGTCCACACAGACACAGGTCCCCCATTACTCTTAATGGCTTACTGTCTGCAGGGTTTTAGGTTTCTGGGTTTTGATAGTACGTGCCTGCTTAACATACGCCACAAAAAAGTGCCCACACTTGTACCAATGACCCCATTATACGAGGCCAACGTTAGGTTTTTTGTAGCATAGCTACATGCCTCATTCAATTCCATCTTGCTCAAAACCCGGGACATGTTAGCCACAACACCCCCCATCTCCTTTACATATCTTCAACCCACAAGCTAAGACAATTGCCATAAAAACCCCACCAGCCTGGCTCTTATTGTCACTTGCACAGTTGCACTAATGGTTAAACTAAAATCACTGTAACTCTATCCACTGACTGAGACCTTGTATAATATTTTCACTTCATGGGCCACAAAAATTAACCACAAAATACTCTTGAATTAAAACAACAAAAACTCAAATGGTATGATATTTGAAAAGGGAAAGAATATAAAACAATAATTTATCAAACTTCCATTATACAAAAGGAGATTTTTAGCTTTCTTTAATCAAAGTTGAAGACATTACATTTCAAAAACGTTTTCTAAATACTTATTGCTAAACATATTTTTGGTAGATTTTGGAATTCAAAAACAAAATAAATGGTTTAAAAACTGAGTATTAAAGTAGTACGAGATATTTATCGAGTACAATGTTAAAGTTAGTGAGCAATTATGCATGATTCCGATAGTAAAATATGTTTTGGTATGATAAAAATTTAAACTGTACCTGGATACGGACATAATTACTACTGCTTGTACACTGACCAAACGCCATGGCCACAGCCTGGTCCACCGAGTCCGCGGAGCCGTCACCAGAAATTCGAGCCATGGGTCGAGCCCAATCTTTGACTTTCCAATTCTTGACCTGGTCGTACTCGTAACTAACCTCAAGTAGCTGACCCGTTCCCAACGATAACACCAGCAAATCCTCAACGCCTCGCACAAATGGAAACTCTTGTTTGTTGTGTAAGACGTGCGTGATCGCCGCCGCCGTTGGGTTGCTCATGGCTAGACCGCCGTCAACCGCAACACACCTCGTCTGGCCATCAACGGACCTCATTAAAACCGGTTCGAATAAGCCCGGTTCAGCCGACGTGGCGCGACATACTTCCCAGAGTCTGAAATCAAAACTCTCAGTTTCAAGCGCGTCCGCTCTGGAAAATAAAAATGGCGCCGTACTGGAAAGATCATAACACGGGATGAGAACCGGTTTCAACGTATCCCTCAGAGTTAAGTTACGGCCGCTATCAGCGAACATCTCTTTCATGGCTTTCTCCAAACCGGCGGAAGCTGAAGCGGAACTTGAACCGTTTTTAAAAATTCGTTTGATAAAATTTCCTGAATTAGAATCAGAGGATGACCGGTAAATTCTCTTGCCCTGGTTGGCAAGAAAGTGCCACGTGTCTTCAGCTTTAAAAATCGGGCGACTGTTGTCGTTGGTGGCGAAAAGCATGGTCGTGAAGATACCGCCGACTCCGGTACCGGCCGCAACGTCGAAATAATCGGCGATTCGGGCGTTTGGATTGCCGGACTTGGACTTGAGCGCGTGTTCAAGATAAGCTAAAGCTTTACCGGGAAGAATGCCACGCATGCCGCCGCCGTCAATGCTGAGTATACAAATTTTGCCTCGCTGGTTCTTGATAGAAGACACGCCGTTTAATTCAGAACTTTGTTGCGCGTTTAAGCTCTCGGTTTTGGCTTCCAACGGCGCCGGAGAGATCTGTTTGGGAATCCAAAGCTTTTGATCGTCGTAACCAAACAGAAACTTGCTTTCCAAGATTGAAAATATCTCGTAGCTCAACTTATCCGTATCGATGCTCGGTTCTTGCATTTCTGATGATGGATTACTAGCCATTTCTCAAGATATTTCTCTGCAACTTTTATCGATAAAAAACCACCTCCTTCTCTGATTTCTTTTTCATACAAAATTACAGGCTCATTTCCAACAATACAAATTCAAGAACAGAGAGTTGTCCATCCATTTGAGAAACTAGAGGCTCAGGGGATTCAGTTGAGTTGAAGCAATAAAAAGCGAAAGATTATATACAAGAAAAGAAGCGAAAAACACTTGTTTTAACACACAAGTAGTCTTTTTCTTTTTTTTCTGCTTATCTTTTGCTGAAACAAACCTTCCTTTTAGAAGAGCACGCCAAAACGACCTATATTATTCATCAAAACAAACCAAACCCTGCAGTAAAAAACAAACCTTCAAAAGAATCCAAAAAAAAGAACCACAGAAAGGAGGCAAAGAACTCAGTAGTTTTGCCAGAGGATGTCTGTTTCTATATAACCATTGCTAATAAACCTTTATTGTTGTTATTACTAGTATTATAATTATTATTATAAAAAATTAAAAATAAAATTACGGCGCTTTATTTTTAACAGTAGGTTACGTTAAAATTAACAGTGGCCAATCTGTCACCGACCATTGTGTATCAGAGGGTTAGGATTGAATAAAAACAGTATTGGTCCGTGATGGACGGTCCAATTGGGCAATCGAACCAGAATGATGGTTTGATCTCGCGGGGTTGTCGTTACGCGTGGACCCCGTAAGAGACACCGTCGGCAGATGACTGGAGACGCACTAATTGTGTTGATTTAGTGATATTGTCGATTAGATAGAACTTAGAGTGTAGGTGGGGTCTTCTCTACTCTTATGTTTTTTTTGTACGTGGTAACGGGTATAGTCGGTCAATGTTATGTCATTTCTAATTCTAAACAATTAAAATACAAAAAATATTCCCTTTTTTATACGCAATAATATAAAATTGCTAAATTATAAGGAGGAGTGTGGTACTGTGGTGGGCCGTGGGGGACAGGCGGAGTGGTGGGTAACAGTAACAGGGGAAAAAAAAAAAAATGGTAAAAAGAGTGGATAAGAGAAATGGTGTTGACACTGAAGTCGATGTGTTTTTACTGAAGTCGATGTGTTTTTGACAATACGTACGTATGTTTTGGGTAAGAACAAATGAAAAGAAATTTCAATTGACCGTTTTGTTGGTAATTTACAGGGAGAAAACAGAACAAAAATCAAAATGAAATCGTCAACATTGTAGAATTTTCTGAACGTCTCTGGTCGAGAATTGAGAATGAGAAGGACTACTCATGATGAGAAGTCTTCTTCAAAGACCTTAATTTTGAAAAAATACTTTGACATACTCTAACCCTTCTTTCCTCCCATTTTACATGTTTTTTTTTTTCTTAAACCAAAGAGTTCCGATCAGTTTATTTACACTTCAACTAATTTTTAGAGTCTATTAAACATCATACAAGCCCAAAAAACTAGATAAATCACAATATTTGTTATGGTAGATAACCCCAATGTTTAAACCCAAAAAACTCAAGGAATAAAGCAAACATCTTTAACCACTTGGCCAATCCCTTAGGGTTAATTTTTTTATATTTGCCTTTTTCTTTTTTCTCAGAAGAACAATACAATAATTACAATATACAGCTTCTTGTAATTTTATAGATTCCCAAATTAACCAATCACATAAAGAGTGTATGAAATAAACTATTGTTAGAGCATTTTCAATGACGCTCTTTATTTCATAGAGCATCTTTCAGATAAATAAAGAACATCTTCATTAATTTCTAAATATAAAGAACAAATTTTTTACTCAAATCCAATAAACTCTTTAAATTTAATGAAGATACTCTTTATTTTCAAGAAATAGATTTAATATGAGAGAAAATTAATAAATAAAATGCATAGAAACTTGTAATTATTTATTAAAATTAGAATAGATAGTGAAATTTGACGCTCTAGATGTTGAGAGTTAAACTTACTGTTTAATTTATATTTAAATAATAAATAATATGTTGGATTATTATTTTTATGAATAAACTCTTTATAATAAAGAGTTTAGGTCATATAAAGAGTTATTTGAAGATGCTTTTAACAACCAAAGCACCTATTTAACGTTGTGCTGCTAATTTTGTATAAAATTAATTAAATGTTTATATGAAAAATGGAATCTAAACCTTGCTTTATATAGTGGATGCTATTTAGATTCTAAACCTAAATCATGAAATTATTAGAATTTTACACATGAATTGATTGAAAGATCCGTTAATGACATTGATCCTCTTCGTCTCAATGTTGATAAATGATAAGCCAGTTTCCATTAAGGTTTTAATATTTAAATTTCATTTTCAAAGTTAAATTTGTGGACTTAATCTGGGTTTTAATGATGGATGAGTTTACTATTTTAACCTTGGTCTCTCCAAATTCACTTACTCGTTATCTTGTTTCACACATAAAACAGTGGGTGGTTAAGACAACTCCAAATGCTTAGTCTTGTCATTTCCCATTTAGTTGTGCTCTTGAAGTCCTAAAATGAATCAAGTGCTTCTAATTAAACGTGTTTGTTAGTGGAAAATTAAGTATCTACGTGTAAAGTTCTTTCTAAAATGGGTTGTTATTTTTTATTATTTTTATTTTTTTTATGACAGGGTGTTTAAATTAACTTATGCACATTTCAACTAATTTTTTAGAATCTTGAAACTGTCAGTTAGATAAAAGTTCAATTGATCACCTTTTTTAGTAATCAAGAAAGAACTTGAACTCAAAACCTCTTGAGTAATACACTTAAGAGTCATTGTCGAACCACTCGACCATCTAAAAATAGTTAAATAAGTTGTTTTAACTATACATTATAATATATAAATTTTAAACTGTTGATTTGTTCTGACCTTGGTTTTTCAAAAAACTTTAATCAATTGTAACTGAATTAAAACAGAGTTGCTCAAATCGTGGGATTGGATTAACTGCAAAGGGGAGTTTGAGTCTCGGATGGAGCTTTGATACTTGCAAAATGAGCAAACAAGCATATTAACAAGGGGTAGTAAGGGTGATCATTATTAGCATGTTCCTTCCGATGCTTAAGTCAGGTATCGTATCTCATTAGAGTATATTTATTTTAGGGAGTAAACCACTATTTCCATTAACAAACTTCCTACACTGGGGTTACCCTTCAAGTGTATGCACGTTTTTCATTTGTATTTGTCGTATAAGAGGTACACGTATTGCTATTGAGTTGTGACTTTCAATTTTATTTTTCCCAATGACAGTAATAACCATTGATTTGTCTTTTTCAAGTTCATGGACTAGCAGTTTTGTTAAAGACTCTTTGAAATTTAGTGTAAGACTCTTCCGCTGTTGTTTGAGGAATTGTTTTGATAAATCTTTTAAGAAATTGCATTATATCGATAATTCAAAAATTATGTTGTAATTTTGTATTGAAGATTTGTGTTATAATAAATGAAATTTTATAAAAATTATAATTATAAAACCACTAAAGAGGTGTACACATTTATATATGTAATTCCATAAATAGTTTCTTGGCAAAACGAAAAAGAGGAGAAAAGAGCATTAAGAGAAACCAATTCCACGTTGTATAAACAATTTTTGTTATAAATTTTGTCCTCCAATTTCTTTTTTCCTCTTTCTGGCAATTATTGATGTGGGATGGCAGTAAGAAAGTTGAAACCATTGTTGTTTCAGCTTGTCACGTTACACTTATAGCATTGACATTTTATAAATTAATATTTTAACAGTTAAACAGGGACCCCAAGTTTGGTTAAATCACTTAACCTTTAATAAAAGACAATTATACAACAATAAAAATAAACCGGTAAACCTTTGTCATTAACTTTCTCTTATAAACGCAATGTGATAGCTCGTAATTGATCAGACATGACGCATTATTGGACAGACAAAACCCATTGATCTAACCAATTACGAGCTATCATGTCGCGTCTGTGGGATAAAGTTAGTAAGAAATGTTTGTAAGCATAGTATTACCCATTATATAAACATTTATTAACTCATAATGGTATAATTTCTTATGAATTACTAAACAGAGAGATTTTCTGTTGTTTTAGAAACTTCAGGGGGTGTCTTGTCAGTCAACCAAACCTCCGGGGAGACTTTTAAGTTTTAATTAACCTATTATATGTGAAGGGTAATGTCATCTTTTGTATGGCCTTTACTAACATATTTTCAGGAGGAAATCTAAAGCTTATAAAACAGGAGTAGATCCTGGTCAGTTTTACTTTAGAAAATTCAATAATGTGATCCGATAATTAATAAAAGTAGTATATATAAAATTGTAAAACAGAGTTGAAGAATCCTTTTAGAAATCGTTCACGTTTGTGAAATTAATAATTTATAAACAAAAACAAAGTACAAGATTTTGTGTTAAAAAGAGGTTTTTTTAGTAAAATGAAGAGAAAGAAAGAGAAGAAGAGAAGAGAAAAAACAAAGATCTAGTGAAACAGCTGTGAGATGCAAACAAGTGTTAATGGTGATTTGGAAGATAGTGAGGGGGCAGCTGGGCATGGGGAGGTAAACAGAGTGAGAAGAGTGAAAGGAGACATCAAGACAACCAATTGAATTTTTAAGGCCTGCTGTTCTGTGGTTTCTCTTCAATAATAATAACTCTCATTGCCATTGCCTCATGTTGTTTGTCACAGTCCTCTTCAAATTGTTTTGGCATTTGCCTTCCTTTCATCTTCCCTCCATAACTCCCATGTCCCCTTCACATTTATCTCTAATACTTACCCTTTTTACCTTTTGGTTCCAGAAAAAGACGACCATTATTCATGTTTTTACATCCATTGATGCAGCACAGCGGCTCAGAAAAGAGACGGGAAAAAAATAAAAATGTTTGGGATGGGCTTGTCATTTTTGGTCCATAATGGGCTGGTTGGGTCCATTTTCGACCCTTCAACTGAGACTTAAATTTCCACTAAACAACAGGAATGGTTCGGCTCTTTTAATGGTTAAATGTTCAATCATAAATTCTCTATGATTCAAAATTTTTACTATGAGAATCCTGATAAAAAAGGTATAATATTCTATTTCATTCACTCATCTTTTACAGAATACAAGAGTACGCTTATAAAGTCTGTACAGAGGAAACTATTCTAGGAAGGTAGTTACTACCATTCATAAATCTCGGCTAGAATTACTGTTAGTCCATAATCAGTGGACACCGAATAACAAATGGAAAGAATCCCTGTAATCTCTCCACAAGATCCTCTGTTAACAACTCACGCCAACAAATCCCAGTAAAAAGACATTACAGAGAGCTCATTCATATAAAACAGATTAACCGACGCTTAAATTTACAGAAATACAAATGTTTCAACTATTTTAAGCTCAGGTCTTCTTCATAAAACTCCGAATATTTCAGAATATTTACTATGTAAATCCCAGTACAGAGCCATTACAAAAAGCTCATTGATTTCCAGTAATACAGCATAAACGGTTCATTACAGAAAGCCCACTGATATATAAATAGGAAAAAAAAGAAAAAAGAAAAAAGAGTTGGAAGTCTGTCAGACAACCGTGTGACCACCCCAGCCAGCGAGACTGGCTGAGAACGATCCTCTACTGCCTCAGTGATCCGAAGATCAAGGAGGCTGTTAATCACGCTCTGATCACACGGTCATGATTCATCCACCAGACTTGATATCCTGTCTCCTTAGAACTCAAGGACACAGAGGTACGAGCCTATAGAACAGATCCTGTTCAAGTAAGGTCGTGACAACAGGATCTCACATCAGTTTATATAAACTCTTCATTTTGCCTTTAAGTTTGCGATGTGGGATTTTGTTTCTCATCAGGACTGTCAGTCTCTGACATTTGGAACCATGATACTGTGCTCACCTGCCTGAATTGTGTTGAAACTGTCCCCAGCTTTCTCTACTCAAGGATTTTCAAGTTTTCTTAATTCACATCTTGGAAAAATTGAGTTGCATTTTGTATTTACAAAAAATAAAAAATGGTAAGTTCAGTTTCAAGTTTACAAACACTGCTAAATTGTTTGATGCATAACTGACAATCTGACATGATAAATAAAATATCTTGTGTCGTGGTCCCAACAGAGACTGTGTCCAACAATATTTAATTCTTTCAGCGTCCATTTCCAAGATATTTGCTGAACTTGAATTTACAGTCCATTCATTTGCATATCTCTTAATGGATTTACAGTGCATTCTTTCTTCCTCCTTGCATACAAAAACTCAAAGAAATATAAAGATCACTACACCATGGACAAAACCTCATCAAAAGTGTACCACAAATTGCTTCAAACTCAGATTGTATGATGTAACTTTCATATTCTCTTGTTCTCTCAAGCAATTAACTTCTCATAATTCTAATGATGTAACTATGCATTAGTTCCTTTTCTTCTTAGCAGAAAATGCTATTCTTGTGGATGCCAATGGAATAAACAAGAACATAAGTTGTTGATATCTAGAAAATCTTATGCAACAAAGGCTATAAAATTGGAACAAGAAGAAGAGCCCCTCAAAGCTGTTGAGAATAAGAAGAAGGGAACTGTTGCAGGCGCGGTCGCTCTTGTTATTGGTACTAGCATTGGTTCAGGGATTCTTGCTCTCCCACAGAAAGCTTCTCCTGCTGTAAATGATACCCTCTCTTTCACACACACAAATTGGTCTCATTGACACATTGTCTAAGGATGCTTAGTTCTGCTTTACACTGCAGGGAATTGTTCCAAGTTCGATATCGTTGATAGTATGCTGGGGATTTCTCCTAATCGAAGCACTTCTACTTGTCGAAATCAATGTGAATTTGCGGAGAAAGATGAGGAAAAATGAGCAAGAGAATGAATTAGAGATCATCTCTATAAGGACTATGGCTCAAGAGACACTAGGAGACTGGGGTGGAATTTTAGCCACCATTACCTATGTTTTCTTGGGTTACACTTCCATGATTGCATATTGTTCCAAGTCTGGTGAGATCCTTTTTCATCTCATCAATCTTCCTGAATCAGTATCAGGCTTCTTGTTCACTGCACTCTTTACTCTGCTCATCTCCATTGGTGGGACGCGGACAACTGATCGAGTTAATCAGTGGCTCACTGCTTCAATGATAGGTGGATTTCTTGCAATGTTCATATATTTTGTTGGTAGTATAAAAAATTAATTTAATGTGAAGAAATTGATGCACAGGTTTGTTATTAGCAATTGAGGTGGTGGCAGTTGTGCTTGGAGGATGGTCAGGATTGGATGGAAGTGGGAACTGGGGAAAAGTTCCAGCGACAATTCCCGTGATAATTTTTTCTCTGGTATATCATGATCTAGCACCCGGTAAGGACCACTATTCTTGTTAATTGTAATTTCAAGTTTCGAAAAATGGAATGTGTCTCCTGGTCCTGGTCCTGGTCCTGGTTGATGTTTTTATTTTTATTTTTTCTTTTTGGACAGTTCTTTGTGCTTATTTGGGTGGTGACCTTGCACGATTAAGGGTTTCAGTTTTGCTTGGTAGCCTAGTTCCGTTGCTAGCGTTGCTTATTTGGGATGCGATTGCTCTCGGCCTCTCAGCTCAGACTAACCAAGTTGTTGATCCTGTTGAATTGCTCATGAGGTAAAAATATTGATAGCAGATTCTGTCAATGAATTTCAAGTAGTTTATAATGTTCTCATATTTTTTATTTTTTTTTGTGTATATGGGTGAGAAGAGAGCATAGTAAGCAGCCAGTGAATGTGGAAATAAAAGAAAATTCAGCCACTCAAGATGGTTAGTGGTTACTGGTTAGGAATATTTTTATAATGGATTTTACTAAAATACTGGGAAAATTCCCACTTCAGTGCCTGGGAATTCTCTAAAAAGGTTAAATAATACCAGATGCAAAAGAAAGTGTCTCTTGAAGGAAAACTGCTGAACAAATTCAACCCAGTAGCTGCAAGTGGGAAAAAAAGAATATAGTTCTCTGTCCCACATCGCTGACATACGAAGCAAAGTTCATCTTCTTATAGACTGATCTGCAGACTTTGAGGTACGACCTTACTTGAACAGGATCTGTTCTATAGGCTCGTACCTCTGTGTCCTTGAGTTCTAAGGAGACAGGATATCAAGTCTGGTGGATGAACCATGACCGTGTGATCAGAGCGTGATTAACAGCCTCTTTGATCCTGGGATCACTGAGGCAGTAGAGGATCGTTCTCCAGCCAGTGTTCATTGGCTGGGGTGGTCACACGGTTGTCTGACAGACCCCAAAATCTTTTTATGAGCTTGAATTTTGCTTAAGTGCTTCTGTTTTTCAGTTAATTTTGGCATCAGATAACTCAAAAGTCTCAAATACTAGAACAACTTTGGTTCAGGCAGAAATGGAGTGGTATTTCATTTATGGTAGAAGCCTTTTCACTTCTGGCAGTAGGAACATCAATAATAGGGACACTCCTGGCTTTCTCAGAGTTCTTCAAGGAGCAATTACAGAAACTCTCATGGGATTCTCCCTCTACACAAATGTCAGAGGTAGTTTTAATACCATTTTCCTCTTATGTCTACGGTTTTTTTTTTATCGGTCTTCGCATTTGGTTCCTTGTCTAATATCATTTCATGTTATGTTTAACTCTACCAGGAGTCAGAGGAGTTCTCTGGGCTGAGTAACTGGTGGGGAAGGAATAAAATCAGCTTCACGGCAATGGCAATTGTTATTGCTCCAACTCTCTTCGTCTCAACAACCGTTCCAGATGTATTCTCAGCTGCCACAGACATTGCTGTAAGTCTTTAAAGGTGCATTCAACAAGAAACATCATTCTAATTGTTTTGCTTAATGCTATCACCAGTAGTTTCTAAATTTGGTTCCAGGATTGAATTCAGCCATAGCCTTTCTCATAATTTACACTTTAATATAGGGGGGCTACTGTATGACAATGCTATTTGGAGTCCTGCCGCCAGCAATGGCGTGGGCGGTGCATCGTCAGCAACCGGAGGGTGCTGATAGAGAGGCATTATCAAGTGTAAAGCCTGTAGTTTTTGGGGCAGGGCTACTAGCATGTTGTATTGTGGTGGAGCAAATCTTGCTGGATTTTTCTGTATTTCATCCCTGAAAGGATAAAGTAAACTATTGCACATAGTGTGTTCTCCTATATCTAAATGTAAAGTAAATAATATTTTCACCGTATATAAGTTAACAGTTTGATAACGTAAGTTTTGCATATGAAATATAAACAGACGCAACAAGTTAACGTAAAAACAAGGCTAGCACACTACTATATGTCCACACCTTTAGGGTTGATTAACAAGTCTCAATCATAGAAACTTAATTCGTAAAGTTATGAAGGAAAATCTAAAAAAAAATTCATTATATATCTTCAAAAAAAATGAACAATATGTTCATGTAAGGTGGTGATAACCAATCCTAACAAGACTCCCAATTAAATAAGAAAATAAAATCCTAATTAAATACGAAAATTAATTAAAAGAAGAAATTTTATTGTTGACTAATTATAAAATAAGAAAGAACTTTAAATAAAATAAGAAAAACACGCAGAAAACTTAAACGACCTTGAAACACATCGAAAAAGTGGATTTGGCTTCGAAAACGATGCCCAACCAAGATGTTATAACCATACACACACAAGGATCAACCAAACAAAGACCACAATCAAGAATCATAACCAAACACGCACAAGACAACCAGAATTTTACCGTGGTTCACTTGCTCTATTTTGAGCAAGCTACGTCCACGTTGAGCTCGGGAAGCACACAAGCTTGCTGCACTAAAACCACTGTCAAGATTACAGATTACACACAGTAACACAAAACCCTCTAAATCTCTTCTTCAACCTGTAACTCACCCTAGAGATTATACCCTTTCAATCCCTACTGATTGCGTATACAAATACACCCAGAATGACTTGACCCAGTCACTCAATCACCAAGTTACAAGATTCAAACAACCCAAATCGAAAACCCTAACAGACTCAAGTTTCTGTCAATGAAGAAGAGAGAGTTCACGCAAAATCGTTGTGTTACATTATGCCAAAACAGTTCTGCTTTTATATATGGTTGATTGAAGGGTTAATTTCAGCCTTTGGATCTTCTCTTTATCAACGCTCAGGATTGCTTCTTCAGTTCTGCTCAAAACGAGGTTGTCTCATTTAAGTTCTAACACGACAGCGTTTCAAGCCATCACACCAACAATCTCCAGCTTGATAGATTGAAAACCCCCTGTATCAGTGTAGCTTGCCTTTAGTGAATCCTTCATGGCTCTTTTGTTACCCTTGCTTACTTAATGGACAGCAGGTTCAAGCAATGCTTGAACTTAGCAAGTGTAACAATCTTCGTCTCCATGTCTGTTGGGTTGTGCTCAGTAGGAATCTTATTAAGAGCTATCCCTTCCCTGGTGACCAGATCTCTCACAAAGTGGTAACGAACATCTATGTGTTTGGTTCGCTCATGGTACACCGGATTTTTACTTAGGTGTATTGCACTTTGACTGTCTGAAAAAATGGTTAGCTTCTGTTCAGTCAGGTTTGCTTCACGTAGGATTCCTTTGAGCCAAATTACCTCCTTAAATACATCAGCTACAGCCACATTTTCAGCTTCAGTTGATGACAATGCAACTATAGGCTGTAATTGTGACTTCCAGCTGATGCAATTACCCCCCTAGGTGAAGTAATATGTTGTAGTTGACTTCCTAGTGTCCCTGTCACCTGCAAAATCTGAATCTACAAAGCCAGCTAGCTCAAGTAAGGTAGTCCTTTTACAATATTCCAATCCAACGTTCAATGCGCCATTAACATATTTGAGCACCCATTTCAGGGCTGTCCAGTGTTCCATACCAGGATTAGACATGTATCTACTCAACAATGATATCACAAATGATAAATCAGGCCTAGTACTAATCATAGCATACATCAAGGACCCAATTACATTTGCATAGGGTATGGTCTCCATTTTAATTAACTCAGTATCAGTATTAGGGCATTGGGCCTTACTTAAGGTGAAATGGTTAGCTAAAGGCATTGAAATAGTTTTGGTCCCTGCCATTCCAAATTTTTCTACTAACTTATGCAGGTATGAGCATTGGTGTATTCTCAGTTTGCATTTGCTCCTGTTCCTATCAATTTGCATGCCTAAGATCTTCCTAGCATCCCCTAGGTCTTTCATTTCAAATTCAGCATTGAGTTTATTCTTTAACTCACAAATTAAAGGCTTTGATTTGCTTATCAGTAATATGTCATCTACGTACAACAGTAAGTAAATAGGTATATCATCCACAACAGCAAAGTAGAAACAGTTGTCATACCTGCTCCTAGTGAATCCTATACCTACAATAAAGGTGTCAAATCTCTTATACCATTGCCTAAGGGATTGCTTTAGACCATATAGAGATTTCAACAGTAAACAGACATGGTTGGGGGCCTTTAGATCTATGAAACCTAAGGGTTGACTCATGTAGATCTCTATGTAGGAATGCAGTTGTGACATCCAATTGTTCAAGTTCTAGATCGAGGTGGGCTACTATGGACAACATTAGCCTTATGGTTTTGTACTTAACTATCGGGGAAAAGACTTCATTGAAGTTTATTCTCTCTCTTTGGGTAAAACCCTTGGCTACTAATCTAGCCTTGTACCTGAGGGGATCCTTTGCAGTGTACCTTCCTTTAATTTGAACAGCCACTTGCATTGTACTAATTTTTGATCCTTAGGTTTTGGTACAAGCTTCCAGGTTTTGTTCACCTCCAAGGACTTCATTTCTACTTCCATGGCAGCCTTCCAGTGATCCATTTCCCTTGACTGCATGGCTTCCTCATAGGTTTCAGGCTCTGATCTTTGTATTTCGGTACCTACAAGAAGAGCAGTATATATTAGATCAGCATATGAATACCTTGTGGGTGCCCTTACCTGTCTTCTGGTTCTGTCTCTTGCAAGCTGGTAGTCTTGCAAGTTTTCAGGCTGAATCTCAGTGTCATCTGCTGTTTCTGTCTCATCCTCATGTTCTGGATCAGTTTGTCGAGTTTCTCCTCCAAGTTTAGTAACAGCTTCAATTTCTTGGATGGCTTCAGTTCCTTAAGGTAGTTGGGTTTGAGCAAGAAGCTCCACCTCAATTGGTGTAACTTCAGGATGACTAAAGGAATCCTCTGAGCTTGAAGTAGAGTCAGATTTTGTTCTAGTTTCCTTATAGGGAAAGACTCCCTCATTGAATATCACATCTCTACTCACAATAATTTTAACTCCTGGAGATTCTTTATCCCAAAGTCTATAACCCTTTGTCCCTTCTTGATACCCTAAAAATATGCACTTAATTGATCTTGGTTCCAATTTTCCTCCCGTGGTGTGTGCATAGGCTGCACAACTAAAGACTCTTAGGTGGCTTAGGGCTGGGGTTCTACCAGTCCATATTTCTTCAGGACTCTTTAGGTTTATTGTAGTAGATGGGCTCCTATTGACCAGGTATGCTACTGTGGTAAGGGCTTCTCCCCAAAAGGAGGTGGGGAGTTTGGAGGTTACTAATAGGCACCTAACTTTATCAAGGAGGGTTCTATTCATTCGTTCTCCCATTTCATTCTGTTGTGGGGTGTAGGTTTCTGTCCTATGTCTTAAGACCCCTTGATCACTACAGAACTTGTCAAATTCTTGGTTGCAGAATTCCAACCCATTGTCTGTTCTAAGAACCTTCACCCTTTTGCCAATTTGGTTCTCTACTAGGGTTCTCTAGTCCCTAAACCTAGCTAGAGCCTGATCTTTGGATTTCAGTAGGTACACCCACACCTTGCGGCAGTAATCATCTATCACAGACATAAAGTAGTTATTCCCCCCATAAGATTTCACTTTTCCAGGTCCCCAAAGGTCAAAGTGTATGTATTCTAATTGGCTAGTGGCTAGGTGTGTTCCCTTAGTGAAACTGTTCCTATGCTGTTGGCCTAAAATACAATTCTCACAGAATTCAAGGGATGTAATCTTGTCCTTACCAAACTGCCCTTTATGCTTCAGGATGTCCATACCTCTTTGACTTATGTGGCCTAATCTAAGGTGCCACTTTTCTGTATTGGATAGGTTAGTAGAAATAAACACAAAATTAAAGCAGTTTTGGGAATGGTTCCCATAGAGTATGTAAAGCCCATTTCTTTTCTCTCCTTTCAGTATCAGATTGTTATCTCTATATAAGTTCAAACATCCATTTTCTGCTTTATAATAGCATCCTGATTCATCTAAGGCAAGGGATATCAAATTTCTTTTAAGTTCAGGAATATACCTAACCCTAGTTAGTTTTACCATTTTCCTAGTGTTAACTCTTAGTGTCATTGTGCCTATTCCTCTAACCCTACATGCATTATTGTTTCCCATGTAGACTGTTTCATTGTTAACATTTTCAAATTCCTGGAACCAGTCTCTTCTAAGACTCATGTGAAAAGAACAACCTGAGTCCAACACCCACTCTTCACCAGTGTCATTCATTGACACAGTGAGGACTTCAGGTTCCTCTAATAGGTTTTTGATGGTGGCTAGGTTATTCTCTGTATTCCCCTATTTTTGTTTTTTAATCCATTCGAAACAATTCTTTTTAATGTGCCCAGTTTTATTTCAAAAGAAGCATTTTCTAGGCTCTACTCTATGCTTGTTGCTACCCTTCCATTTTTTCTTATTTCTAGCCCCCTGATTATTCTGATTTCCTTTACCAGTTTGACTAGGTTCTAGTCTGCTCTTAACAATCAGGTTTGTGCCATTTCGTTTATGGGTTTTTAATTTTAGTTCTTTGGCCCTAAGTCCTACTGTTATTAGGTCAAGATTTGGTATAGTACTTGAGTACTGTAGGGCATTCTTGACTACCTAGTAGTCATCAGTCAGGGAGTTCAATAGGATCATGGCTAGACTCGTTTCTCTTAATGCTTGTTCTGTCCCTTTCAAGATCAAAGTCATTTTCAAAAATTCGTCTAGGTTTTCATCTATACTCTTAGCACTGTCCATTTTATACGAAAATAAAGCCCCGTTTAAAAAAGCTAAGTTGGGGGCAGATTGCAAAGTATACAAGGTATTGAGTTTACCCCAAAGTTCAATTGGTGATTCGATTCCGTCTACCTTCCTGAGAACGTTGTCGGACAGGTTCATGACTATCAAGTTGTATGCCTCCTCGTCGATCTCCTCTTTCTTCTTCAGCTTCTCCTCTGGCCACTTCTTGGAGTCCTCTTCCAGTGTGATGACCACCTTGTTGTGAGAAAGCAATGCTTTCATTTTTTTTCTTCCAACTCCCGAAGTCAATCTTCCCATCATATTGGGAGATTTCCATTCGGGTGGTGGTGTTTGTCATGGTGAAGTGTTTGGTTAGGTTTGTGAGAAAGAAAGATCAAGAACTAGACTCTGTTCTTGAATCTTCAAAAACGGGAATACCCTAGGTTTATACTGCTAGTGAGATCTGTGCCAATTCGTTCCGAATAGGCGAATAACACTCCTCTAGTCTCCAATTTGATTTCTAAACCCTAAAATTGAGAAAGCCCCAATTTAACGACAGCCCCAAAAAACCCTAGAAATCTCATATTGGAATTTAACCTGATATCTGCCTAATTTCTTGTAACCTAATGCTCTGATACCACTGTTATAACCACACACACACAAGGATCAACCAAACAAAGACCACAATCAAGATCACAACCAAACACGCACAAGAACAACCAAAATTTTACCGTGGTTCACTTGCTCTATTTTGAACAAGTTACGTCCACGTTGAGCTCGGAAAACATACAAGCTTGCTGCACTAAAACCACTGTCAAGATTACAAATTGCACACAGTAACACAAAACCCTCTAAATCTCTTCTTCAACCTGTAACTCACCTTAGAGATTATACCATTTCAATCCCTACTGATTGTGTATACAAATACACCCAGAATGACTTGACCCAGTCACTCAATCACCAAGTTACAAGATTCAAACAACCCAAATCGAAAACCCTAACAGACTCAAGTTTTTGTCAATGAAGAAGAGAGAGTTCACGCAAAATCACTGTGTTACAATATGCCAAAACAATTCTGCTTTTATATATGGTTGACTGGGATCTTCTCTTCATCAACGCTCAGGATTGCTTCTCCAGTTCTGCTCAAAACGACGTCGTCTCATTTAAGTTCTAACACGACAAAGTTTCAAGCCATCACACCAACACAAGATACTGGGTTGGCCATGACGTCAAACTTAAAACGAGATTTCTATTGATATCTTACGAGTCTCGTAACTCATTCCGGGTAAAAAGTTATAACTGTTTTAAATTGACATGCTTGTTTTGGATTTAAGACTTTTAGGCCGCGTATTTGAGTTTTTGACACTTAGTCCTCTCCAGAAATTCATTGACCAGATGGTATACGTTTTAAACTTTTGGCAAATGTGAAGTTGTTAGTTCTGATTTTGATAACAAAATCCAGAAAACAAATACTATGCTGTATGATAAATTTGCAAAGGGATTCTTATGAACTGAAAAGAGCTAATTCAACAGTTTACCGTAAATTTATGAATTGAAAAAAGCAGTAGTTAAGAATATTATTCTTAATAATAAAATACCTTTCTCAGACTCCAATACTAGGGAGTAGGGACCACCCTCCATTAGTGCCCTGGAATGTTGAGGGAAATCGAAATTCAACTCAAAAGAGGCAAGTGGCAACAGCTGACACGTGTCCTGGTATAAGAAATAGTCCTCAAGAGGAGAGAAACGGAGTCCCACATCCTTTGCTTACAAGTTACAAGAGCAAACAAGAATACATATAAGATGAAGTTATAAATGTAAATACAATGTTCAGTTAGGGAAGAATGCGCACTAAAAAGATTCATCAAATGATATGATGTAATCTTAATTTTTTAAAAAAGAAATTTATAATTAATCGATGATGTCTTATCATTCGGTTCATAAATTTCGTACGTATTTTATCATTCGGTTCATAAATTTTGTACGTATTTTTTAATAACCGTATTATTTCTTTAAATGTAAAGCACGACTTTACTTGAACAAAATCTGTTCTATAGGCTCGTAACTGTGTCCTTGAGTTCTAGAGACAGGATATCAAGTCTGGTGGATGAATCATGACCGTGTGATCAGAGTGTGATTAACAACTTTCTTGATCTTCGGATCACTGAGGCAGTAGAGGATTCGTTCTCAGCCAGTCTCACTGTCTGGGGTGGTCACACAGTTGTCTGACAGACTTCCAACTCTTTTTTTTTTTTGTTTTTTGTGGATCTTCAGACGATTTGATTGACTGCAGTCCTTACAGGGACTTAAAAAATAGCTGTATATAAATCAAAATTTGATACACATCCAACAGAACCACAAATCAGGATGAACATAACATGTAGCTCCAACTCTGAATACCTGCAGTCTTTGGTCATAGATGATGGATGCTATTTACTATTTCGATAAAAGTTATGTCATTGTTGAGATTGGTATCAAGAAGCAAGGGTCACTAAATTTATTTCATAAAAGATAGAAATGCAACCAACCAAATTTACCTCATAAATACAATAATGAAAAGAGACAAAACAACATTAAGTTATCGCCGATCTGGAAAGGAAAATTGAATGAAAAAATGCAGACGCGATGAAGCATTTATGTTGCTTCATCCATCAAAGCTTAGACAAGATCCTACTTCTTCACGGTTGTCACATACTTCAGCAGCAGCTGCATTACATCCTGGGATATTCTATCAGCTTCTGTCTTCAGGTTTTGGATCTTCGTATCTGTTTCTTGCTCGAGCCGCTTCACATTAGCACCTGAGTCCCCACTACTCTGTTCAACAACGCATGTGTTAGCATTTGTATGATATAAGAATACAGATCAAATAGTCATACATGATTATTACAGAACTTATACAGTAAAACATCAAAAGCAATAAGCCAGGGATTAAGAATTTATGGTAATAAATACAAAACCTAGCGAAATTTTTGAATTATCTGAAAGTTTAAGACAAACTTAAACTTAAGAGATACATGTTTGAATAGAAGTATACAAATCATTATGAAAACACATGAACTCAAGAAACTAACTCAGAAACCAAGATTTTGTATAATAATAACCAAGCAAACTCTTAGCGAAAAGATGGGTCCCAAACAATTCCATCATTTCCCAAATCCTAAAATTTCAGCTGGAAATCAATTAATAATTTGGAGTTTGTAGTCAGCATTTGATATTTGTCGGAACACATTCTCATTTACAAGGTTTAGAATCACCTTTCTTTTCTTTTCCAATTCATACCTCTGAAAGCTTTGTCTTAAAGTCGACTTCCATTTGAGCACGAAATTGAGCAACCTCCTTCTCTGCCTCATCCTTTGCCTGTTTTAATCTAGCCAATTTTGCTGAAAAATAAACATATGTGAGCATTGAGGCATACACTGAAACAGTGCTTCAATTACCTATAGATTATGTTGTTAACTCAACTTCGTGATTTATCTTTCATGGAGATTATGCATACTTATCTCTTAACAAAATATATCCTTTAAGGAGCTAACATGGTTCCTGCTTTGTGTAATCTATTCCCACTTAAAGCTCAGCCTGTATGATTACCTGCCTCATATACCTACTATCTTCTAGCATCCTACGGCCAGGAATCATAATAACAAACGGCTAGCATGATTGTGAGAGAAGATATATCACAAAATATATTAAAAGTTATTCATTTTGTTGCTAATCTAAGAAACTGATTTTTTTTATAGCTGTAGTAAAGTGAATTCTATTCTATATGTTTTATTAATTTTTTCTTGATATGCTTTATTATTGTGGACGTTTCTAAAGCAACCATGTTAATTTCGCAAAGGTAATTGGAATAACATTATGTTTGACAAGTATTGAGTGTCTTAAAACAATATGTAAAACTTTCTAGAAATATTACATTTTCCAGAGACATTATAAACAAGGAAACAAGAGAAGGCTTACTGTTCCTGGACGTATTAACAATGTGCTGAGCTTCTTGTTCTGCAGCTAGAAGGAGTTGGATTCCATTCTGTCCCCTCCCGGATTCCATGCTTGCTACAGTTTCTGATACACTTACACTGAAATAGAAAATACCATCAACACAAATACATTAGAATTTAAGAATATTAATAAAAATAAAATTTCTTCGTCTAACACAGTAAATAGCTATGAAGACCATTTCAATCATTGGTTTGCAAATAAAATCAATTGCATAAACTAAAAAGAATGATATCCCATTCAAAAACAATTTCTTACGGTTGTTATATTTACAAAATAATCAAAGCCAAAAATAAATAAATAAAGAAAGATCGTGGGGTCATATCAGAACCAATTAAAGGCAAACACAAAAACCAAGAATTTTCCAAAACATTGGTCATAAATCATAATGCCACAATGCCACTTGATATCAAACCGCACAAATGACACAATGTATTGATCAAGAACAAACCAAACCAGATCGCTGCATATTACAAAATCGCATCCGATTTATCAATCATTACCCATAATTACAAAAAAAAAAAAAAAAAAATCTCAAAAATTAAATGAACCCCCATAAGCATATCCATCATTTTGAAAAGCTAAATCACGGTATAAACAGCAGAACCCAGATAAGATTCTTCAATCAAGAAATGAAAATCAATACATTTCCTCTTAATTTAAACAATGCCAGACAATAAAAAAAGCATGAATTAAGACACTTAACAGAAGATCTAAGCAACTGAATTGAAAAGTAAAACAAAAAACTACTGTTCTGGGATTGCGGATTCTGTGAAAACAAACAAAGACAAGAACTTTAACGAAGCAGAGAGACGTACCTGAGGAATAGGCGTTCGTTTGTAGTCAAAATTTAACGAGAAATGAGGTGAGTTTGAGTTTGGGCACCTGCAATGTATGACCAGTCATCTGAAACTGGGCTGTTATATGTTTCAGTTTGATTGGTAAGTATTTTTTACCCCCCTAAACTTTGAAATAATGAAACATACTCTTTTTTATTTTACAATTATCATAAATTCCAGTTTTATCATAATTATTGACCTTAAGTTTTATTTATTTATTTATTTAAATTTTCATACTCTTTAGTTAGTTTTGAAAAGATGCAATCTTATTAGATAAACCTTTTAGTAAAAATACATTAATCTTCAAAACATAAATTTTATACTCCTAAAACATAAATGATCAAATACCTCCCTGATAAGGGATTACTGATCTTTTATGTTGTTTCTATTTTTATTTTTTATATATATACATTTATAGGAAATTTTTGATATTTATAAAGAGTTTTATGTTATTTTTGGTAAGTTTAGTGGGAATTTAATACTGTTCGGAAAATCTTTGGATCGTTTTCGAGTAAAGTAATAAAAATAAATCCCATTTCGAAAACTAATGATGATTTATGCAGAAGTTAACATAATCTGTTAAAATAAACAATAGAGAGATAAAATGGCCAATTTCAACAGTTTGACAGTTTGTTTGAAATTCTTGAGTGTATTACTTAAGAGGTTTTGAATTTGATTTTTTATAACTAATAGTAATGGGTAGACACTACAGGCTTATCTGACCGTTAACTTTAGAACCCTGAAAGACTAATTCAGGTGCATACAAACTGCCCGAACACCCTTGGATACTAAAACCAAACATAACAAAATATTAAAAAAAAAAAAAAAAAAAAAATTGTTTTTCATCCTTAAAGCTCTCTTTCACACTCTCTAGGTAGTAGTTCTTAGTTGTTTTCTGATAAATTTTCTAAAATTCTAAATTCACTAGTAAAAAATTGGAACTGTCACTTAGGAGTTCTAAGAGAGTTTGTACGTCAGTCTTTATTGTTTGCTAAACGTTGTGGCTTAACAATAGTACGATGTTTCATGCAAACCACTCCACAACACCTAATATAGCAGCTCTTGCCAGCACTCCAATGGCGATTCCAGCCTTCTGTCCCCCATTGAGGCCACCTGAAGACTCTTTGTAAAACCCCATTTCTAATTTAGTAATAGCATGAATTTTGTTTAGTTATTTACTTCCCTTCCTATTTGATTGTATGGTATTGTTGTAAGAAAGGGGTATTTTTATCAATTTTTAAAGTTTGCATTAAGGGGTGAAAACAAAAGAAATAAATTTTAATGGGTTTGCATGTATCAAGAGGGAAAAATCTGGATACTTTTGCCAGCAAAAGCTGATGTGGCGGGGTTAGACTAAAATTAAGAGCATGTATAATGTAATTCATTACTCCTTGATATATATATGCTTTGACTATATTATGTCATCAAATTAGAGTTTCACATGTTATATGTAGTGTTAATTGATGGACATAGGACTTGGGTTTTGGATTTAGTTAAATTGGTGTTTGGGATTTAGTGGAAGAAATTGGGCCTAATGGTGTTGAGTTTAAGTAAATAGGCTTAAAGGTGTTTGGTTTATTGAAATAGTTGGGCTGTTGGGTTTTTATTTCTTAATTGTGGGCTTATTTGAATTAATGGATTGATTATGTTGGTGGGTTTACTTAGTTGGTGGACATTATTTTTTTAAAAAAAAGGGTTGAACGGTCAGTTTTAAAACATGTTTAGAAAATTATAGTTTCACCCTTGTATGTGATTTTTGAATATTATGTCAACATGCAGAATTTATAAGCCAATATGTGACATGTTCATGAGTGATATGTCAGTTAAAAATATGCATGAGATTTTTTTGTAGTTCTATAGCCACCCTACGAAGTACCCATCCCCCAGTGATACATACTTTGGCTTTACACATGCGTATGACAGTTATCAGTGCTCTGCCTAGGCCTTGAGTGGTCCGCCAGGTATGACAATTTTCAGGCTCTGCCCGCGCAGTGATAGACCTTGTTGGGTATGACAGGTACGTCCCTCGCTCTCCCTGCGTATGGGTGCCCACTAGGTATGACAGATTTTTCCTAGGGTACTAGTTGTGGTGAGAGTTTCTAATACTAAATGTTGATGTTTTATTCAGAACCTGATACAGTTAAAGGAAGTAAGTCAGAGTACAGTTTACTGAGTGCAGGGTGGTTAGAAATAAATCACATATTGCAAATGTGAATGGGGTGTTTGCTTCCATTGCATATTCATAAAATTATATTCTCGTCAGGATTTGCTTAAGAATTGTTGTATGTTATCATTATTTCTTTTTTTTTTAAGAACTTTTATAAACCTCCCTTTTCCCCCAATCATTGAGTATTTCAGCTCACCCCCTTTTTAAATATTTTTCCCCCTCACCAGGACCTCTCGGAGATCGTGCCGAGTAGTGAGCCTCCGCTCAGGGTTGTGCTGAAAGATTCAGCATGCATGAAGAGTGGTGGAGATGGAGAATGAAAGCATGGATTAAAAAAAACGGTTTACATGCAAAGCTTGGATATGAGATTATACCTACTCCTTTGCTTTGGATTGATGAAGATTAGCTTCAAAAGGATGAAACCTCCACACTTTAACACCACCTTGAGAGGATTAGAGAGTGGCCTTGGCTAGGGAGAGAGAGCTTTTAGTTTGTGTTTGAGTGAACAAGTGAATAATGAACAAAAATGCAACCTTTTGCACTTATATATACTTGGGCTATTTTGCAATTATTTATTTTTCACTTCCAAGCCCAATAAAATCTTATTTTATAAAGGGACCCCACGAATTTAATATGCTACCCTTTGAATAATCAATATTATTCAAGGGCCCATGTAAACTAAACTAGTTTACATTAACAACCCATAAATTTACCCTTTTTACCCTTTAACTATTAAAAGGTTATTTTTGTTCATCTCATTAATCTTAACACTTTAAGATATAATAATTAAATATAATTAATTATTGCTTGACCATTTTAACCCTTAAAATGTCACAAATTGTTTTCTATGTAACTATTACTATAGAAATCCCGTTATTACCCTCGGAAGGTGCTAGCCCTCTTCGGATAATCATTTCTCTCTCTCATCATTCTCTAACTTCTCAAGGCTATGGTGTGACCATAGGTCCACCGGGATTAGCCTGTGATCTGTTCTGGATGAATCCGAAAACCCTCCGAGGCCCAACGACTATGGTAAACATCTAGCATGTGCCATAGTCCCTAAACCCGATGAAGAAATACTTCATCGAACCCATTTCAGATCATACGTGCCATGCAGGTAAAGTCCCTCCATTGGATTCCTAATCGGTATGGATTATGGAACGTCAAAATCCTAAACTCGATCTTCTACCGAATCGTCGATCAATATGTTCGGAACTCGTCATCACAAACTTGCTTTTGTATGACTAATAATAGACTCTGGCCAGAGATTCAATTTTCCAACATTTATCGATGTTCGTCTAGGAACTCGAATCCGGATGGAGTCAGCAGTACTCCCGATCCTATATTTTCGAGTCAATGGATCCCCTCTTGACCATCGTTCGTTTCCGCATATGAACAACGCATGACCAAATAGCTTTATTGTACGAACCATGATTAGTCTCGTACTTATACATCGTATGAACCATACGCATCCATATCGGATCCGACTACAATGTCTCAGGTCAAAGGACTACATTGTGCACTGATAACCAAACGAAATCATTGACTACATGCTTTTCCAAGTGATTTGTCGTTATTCGGTCACATTCGAAAAACAGTTCACCAACCGTTAATCCATACAATGCCCCAGTGACATGACCATCATCGTCATTCGTACTTATATCAACTCATGATATCTTTCGGAAGCATCCGGTATGCCTACTGTGCATATAGTTGCCCAAATTTAATTGCTTCCGTAGGAACCCTTTTCGATAATCATTTACCTATTAAATGAATCATCTGGACAATTCATATACGTACTTTATTTTAAATGCATGACTGAATAAAGGAAGCAATTTACATATATGAATTGAAGAACTCTTTCTTCTATTATTTATGATATATATAGATCCAAGACAAAATGCTCTGAAACCGACAACACGAATGGTTTCTAGGGCATACACTAATACCCTAACATGTGCCACGTGTCGACATCTTTTATGTATTTTATATTTATGTCGTATTGTATTTTGGACTTCTGCTTCAAACTCATGTTTCCATCACGTATTTCATTTTGTTTATGTTTTTGGAAAGTATGTATAAGTGAAACCTGACACCACAAGTTTCCAATCTTTCTTTTGTAAACGAAAGACGGTTTTACGTTTTTTTTTTTGAGATGCTGGAATGAAAATACTATGATGTTATTCAGAAAAAGTAAGTCCTTTAACAGGTTTCACATTTTTCTACATGGCACGTCTCAGGTATCCGAGTCTTGTGGGAGCGCTCGGATCCTACGGGATGAGGAAATTCAGGACGGGTCGTGTCACTCTTTATATGTTCTGTCATGTCCGCTTGGAGTAGCTAGACTGGCTGGTGAAGCTGGCAAACCTGGTACTTATGGCGATCCTGGATCTGGTACTTATGGCGATCCTGGTGAAGCTGGACTGGAGGGTGGTGAAGCTGGCGAAATACTTGTGGTGAACCTAAATAAAGAGAGAGACAGAGAAGTACGAAGCAAAATTTAAAATACATTGCCAAGATGAAAGGAAATTTAAAATTCAGTTTCAGTTCAAAGATCTGAGAAGGGTCTGACAGCAAGAAAGACAAAAGAGAGATTGCAAATTTTTCTTGCAAAGCTTACTGAATATTGTTGAGTGGAAAGAAAGGATTTAGTAAATTTAAACGAAAGGATCCAAAAAGACAACGAAGTAAAGTGCGTTAAGTTAGAGGAGCTCTTTCAGCTCTTTATCAATTGGATTTTTTCAGGGCAAAGTAATATCCCCCTATTAGAAACTTCCAAGCAAAAGAAAGGATTTTGTAGATTTAACGAAGAGTCCAGAGAAGACAACGAAGTAAAGTGCGTTAAGTTAGTTCTTTCGGCCCTTTATCAATTTGTTATGCCTGGAAAAGTAGGGTTGATGTAAAGCCCATTCAGCACGAGTGGTCAGGTCTGGACAGATCCTGCAGCCATTCAGGTGCACCACGTCGCATGCTGGCTTGAGCAGCATGTTCCTGCCAGTGCAGTGGTTGGCGCACCAGACTGACGAAAGGCTGGAGGTCTCCACATGTCTAATCCCTGCGTAAAGCGAGGAGATCACGCGAGTAGGTGAATAACGGGACGAAAGAAGTTTGCACGGAACCTGACCCCTTTTTACAGATTCTAATGATTACCTCGATGTATCCCACTATAACTAGAGAGTTTGTCTCCCATTATTCGCTCTTTTTTACTTTTGATTAACCATCTTCTCTCTGTAATAGCTCTCTCTCTCATTTGTATTCTCTTAGCTCGCTAAGCCGCGGCCTGATTCTTTAAATTAAATACATATCAGTGGATGTGATTCTCTTGTTTAAGTATCCAACCACTTTAAACATCGTCTGCCACCATTTACATTCTCAATCTCTCATTTACGTGTGTTTTTTTGGGCCAGTTCAGCATTTCACACGTGCGTTTAGTTTGTCAAATCACGCATCAACACAATTGAATTTTTCAAGGCAACGCTTCAGGATTATTTTCCAGGCAATTACTCTCCTTTCACTGATTTTCTGAAATTTAAGAAGCTAAAGAACATGTCAACACGTTTTTTTTTTTTTTTTTTTTTTTTTTTTTTTTTTTTTTTTTTTTAAATTCTAACCCAATTCCATTTTAAGGAGGCCGGATTGAATTTGGATGATAGAAAAGTTCATGTCACACAAAACCACATGACAGTTAGGTTTTCTTAATGCAACATTTCTAAGTGGAATTTACTCAATGGGTTGTAAATGTGCTGAAAAGCACAATGTATCGACTAACTTTTGTTTTAAACTTTAATTGAAGTTATTATTAACTAAAACTCTCATACTTCACAATGAGTTCGTAAAAGATACTTATTTTAGGACCCTGAAACCTTACAAATATATTTTCACTTCGAAAAGAACAATGAAAAGCCATAACTACACCGAGGATTGAGATACAATCATAAATTGTGAATACTTTGTATAGGGACACTTCCGAGTCATTTGAGCTAATAAGCATGTGGAAAGCCAAGTTGAGAGGAGGCACCAAACGATGGAAGTTTAAGAACTGGCTCTGAAAGAATACCGACTGGCTCAAAAGCTTGCCTTCAAGAAAATCCTCCCCAAAGGACTGAAGATGAAACAAGTCTTACAACCAGGTTTATTAGCAAAGAAGACAAAAACTAAAACGATATATGTTAAGAGAAACAAGATGCAACCTTAATACTGCTTATGGTCATTTCACCATTCAATTCAGGCTTCTCGGCATCATGTTCTGTGTAAGCTATAATCTGCATTTGAACATGGACGCCGTTAAGACTTCATTTTTGCATTGTTTTATTAGTCCTCATTGCACAGGATTTTATCTGATGCATAAATTTCATCGGAAAATTGAACTTACTCTTGGAAAATCTCCGGTAATGCCAAATTCATGAGCAATTATTCTCACTCCTTCCAAGTGCATCTCCACATGGACAAAGAGAACTGCAAGGATTTTAAAATCATTTAATAACAGATTATTTTCAGAATAATGTTTCACCCCTCCTTCCAAGTGCTTATGATCTTAAAGGATAATTTCAAATTCACCTTTCCTCTGAAAGCTACTGCAGCTTCTTCAACGCAGATAGACATTCTCTAACCGTATTTGGGGGCAAAAAGCCATAACTGAGAAGATTTACAGACATGTTAAACCAAAACTTTCAAATTTCATTATTTTAACAAGAGGTTCGACAAAAGGGCTAACCTGTTTCTGGGATTCTGGAAATCTGTCCTGCAGTTTCTGTTGTGAAAGTGATCACTGGAGATCTTGATTTTAGATACAAATTCACTATTGCCAATCTTGTGAATTGACCATCTAAAGAAATGAAGAGCAAAATGGTAAGTAGAGCTCTCTCGAATCATAAAATACTGAATGAAATTTGAAGCATTGAGATGTTGAAAACTAACTAAATATAGCAAATTTTTTGGCACTGTTTGTAGCAGTATCAAAGCAGGGCGTTTGATATTTGGGTTGATGTGGAATAACTCTGCAACATCAGCTCTAGCAGTTGGATAGAAATCAATATCACTATGCAGTTTTGAGACAGCGGCAAGTTCTTCACTTTCCGAACCCTTTCAATTACATAAATAGAGTTAGATCAACGACTAAATAATCAAACAGCAAATTGATTATAGAATATGTATTTGATTGATTTTTCTAGGCAAAGCAACTACACTAATCAACAAGTTTTATTGGAAGAAGATCAAACTCGACTTGATTTAGATTTATAATTGATTAACAACTGAAGATTCCTACTGTTATCAACTAAAGGAATTGATCATAAGAGTACCCCTCAGCTCAACTCAAGCAATTAATTGAGTCTTGAAAGATTGTGGTCAGTAAAAAGAAATTGGTGCATGTCAGTGATGGAATCTAACAAGATTGGTGCCTGTCCTTATTTTGAACTCAATGGAGATTATAAAGTACCTCTAGAGTCAAGGATCCCAAAACCAATTCCGATTCACATTCATGTATAAATTGCCTTATCCATTTTTGTTATGTTGTGAACATCAACGGCCATCTTCCTTTTCACCCAAGTCGCTATACATCACTGCATTTTGAATCACCATGGATAAGAATAACTGAAAAAAAAAATTCCACCACCCAAATTTACTAGACAAAAAATAAGTTACCTTGTTCTTTCCAACTCATATCATATAAATTCTGCCTGACCTCATTAACAAGAAATACATAGTGGGATAACCCGAATTTCGTTCTTCCTTGCAAACTCTGTCTCTACATCACAATCCACCATTGCAAGCGCGCCTCACCCTTGAGCATTTTGGCAGCCGCCACGTATTCGGAGCCAGTTTCTTGCTCCAGTAGCACCAAGGCGCATAGAACAACACCATCACATACTTATTCTTGGCCATGAGTCACTAAAATTCTTCTCGGTCAACGCCGCCACATCTTCATCATAAAGAAGCGGCCACGGCCGTGACGGCCACGTGTTTGTCAAGATGATTAAAAATGCTACCTGGATTCGCTGGAGGAAGGTTATGTCGGTATCTTCATCAGAAGGTCTGAATCTTTTTCATTGATTTGAAGATTGAAAAAGCCTCAAGGAGATCGTTAAAGAGCAAAGTTGGTGAGTTTATTGTGATGAGAGAAGGTGCGAATCTGGAGATGAAGAGGAGGAGAACTGAAACGAAGAGATTGAGTAGAATTTTGTTGCAGTTGACGCCTGGATCATTAGCAAATCCAGAACAATGGGAGAAAGACACAACTCAGAAAAGTATTAAGTTGACTGAAGGCAACTAAACTATAATATCCAAACATTAACTGCACGTTGACTTGGAAATTCATGTTCGTAGTTCTAATGGAATCTGTGAGGAAGTTTCGCCCTTTCATAGTGTAAATTATTCAGAAGGCAATAAACAATGCACTTCTGACATTTTGATATAGATTCTTTTTCTTTTTATACAAAATAGATTTCTCATTAATTTTGTTTCATTTTAAGTCAATCACATCAATAAAAACCATCTTTTTTGCATTTTATTTTTCTATAAATTTTTTACCCCTTGTCTCAATTCTGATGTGCGTCAACTTTAAGTAAAAAAAAAAAAAAAAAACGATAAAACACTTCAATAGAGCCATGATTTAGACAAAAACACGGCACTCGAGCTTTTCACAATTCCCAGTTAGTGCATAATATGACAATGACACAAAAAACCACCATTTCTCTTGCCGTAATAACCAAGGAGATTGAGAACAATCTCAACTGTGAATACAATACATAGTGAATCCTTTGTCTCTGCCGTGTTTTTTCCGGCAAGGTTTCCACGTAAATCCTGTATCAAATATTTTATATCTCTGGAGCTTTACGTTTTGGCATTTTTCACTACAATTTGTATGATTTCCGTCGGGCTATTAGGATGTCGATGCCAAAATTCGAAGTTGAGAAGTTTGATGGCACAAACGACTTCAGTATCTGGGCATTAAATGCGGCGGTTACTAACGCATCAAGGGTTACTGGGGGCGTTGGAGGGAAAGCTACCCGAAGATTTGTCTGAGCAGAGCAAGAGATAAGATAAACGGTCCTGACTTCGATACAATTATCCTGGCAGATGAGTGCTATGGGAAGTCAGTGAAGAAGATTCTGCATAAAACATATGTCAGCTTTGGTAAGTAGATACTGACAAAGTCGCTCACAAGTCTTAATCTCAATCTTATACACTCTCGGATGAGGAGGTATGTCCATTAAAGATCATTTATATTATTTCAAAAAAGTTATAAGTGATCTGAAGAACGTTATTAAAAGTTAAAGATGAAGATCAAGCCCTTATTTGTTGTGCCGTTGCCGCTCTCGTATGAGCATTTCTTGATACAAGTTGTATGACGAGAGTCTATTTTTGTTTCTGACATGAGTAGCTTTGCAACGAGGGACAAAAAAGCACATACCGGAGAGCATGAGGAGAATCATGCTGAAGGTCTGGTAGTAAGGGGCAGGACTACACAACATAAGAGTTCCAGTAACAGGACCGGATGAATCGAAATCAAAATGCCGAAAGCTTAAATGCTTTACATGTCATAAGGAAGGGCACTTTCGGAAGGCCCTCCAGAAAGGAAGAATAAGAAAAGACTCAAGAGGGATGCCAGCGTAGTTCAGAGAGTTCAAAGAGGCGACTTTGACAAGTGCTTGCTGTTAGTCATTGACACTGGTAATGATGGATTATTGTTTTTGGTTGTTCGTTTCACGGACACCAAATAAGAACTGGTTTTTAATTACAAGCTAGAGATGAAAGGTTCTGTTAGGTGACAACAAGGCTTTGAAGGTATTCGCAGTAACAATTCAGATAAAGACGTTTGACTGTGCAGTAGAGTTTTGGATGCATGCATGTTCCTGGTTTGAGGAAGACTTCCTTAGTATCATTTGATTCTAAGGGGTACAAATTTTATGCCGATAATGGAGAGATCAAAGTTTCGAAAGGTGTTGTGGTTGTGATGAAAGGTAGGAGGCATAACGATCTCTACTATTTACATGGAAGTACTGTTTCTGGTTCTGTAGCGGTATCTTCATCAGAACAGTCAAATTCAGACTCTACTCAACTGTGGCATATGAGGTTGGGGCATATAAGTGAGAAAGGGTTGCAGGTTCTGTGTAAAAAGGGCTTGCTTGACGGAATAAAGACAGGAAAACTGGAGTTCTGTGAGCACTGTGTGTATGGTAAGCAGTGCCAAGATTCACAATACAAAAGGTACTTTGATTATGTCCATTCTGACTTTGGGGGCAGTGCCGAGTGAAGTTCAGTGCCGGGATTCACAATACAAAAGGTACTTTGGATTATGTCTATTATGACTTTGGGGGCCTTCTCCACATGCATCTCATAGTGGCCATCGTTATTACATGACGTTGATTGATGAATTTTCTCGTAAAGTCTGGACGTATTTCTTGAAAATGAAAGATGAAGCTTTCGACAAGTTCAAGCAGTGGAAGACCATGATTGGAAAGAAGACTGGGAAGCATATCAAGACTCTTTGAACTGATAATGGGCTAGAATTCTGTAATAATGGGCTAGAATTCTGTAATAACTTGTTTAATCAGTCTTGCAACAGGGAAGGTATAGTAAGGCATTGTACTGTACCGAAGACTCCACAACAGAATGGTGCTACAGAACAGATGAATAGAACACTTCTGGAAGAGCACGTTGTATTTTGTCAAATGTTGAACTTAGAGGCAAGTTTTGGGCCAAAGCAGTTAATATGTTGACATACTTGATTAATCGGTCTCCATCTATTGCTATTGGATTGAAGACTCCACAAGAGGTATGGTATGGAAAACCTTTAGATTATACTGATCTTAGAATATTTGGTTATCCTGCCTATAAACTTGAGCCTAAAGCTAAGAAGTGCATTTTTCTAGGATATGTTAGTGGGGTGAAAGTATATAGATTATGGTGTATAGAAAATCCGAAGTCACCGAAACTCTTAATTAGCAGAGATGTTAAATTTGATGAGTCTGCTATGTTAGATCAGAAAGGAAGTCCATTGAAAATTCAGATACCAGTTTAGGTGCTAATTCCAGGAAGAAGGTGGAGCTCGCTCTTGATACTACAGATTCTTAGTATTTTGAGAAGTCTGATAATATAGAAGTGCAGGAGGAGTCTGGTTCTGAGAGTCCACCATATAGTATTGCTACGGGCAAAACAAGAAGGCAGATAGTACCTCCAGGTAGATATGCAGATATAGTTGCCTAGCTTTGGCAACTACAGAGAGCTTAGAGGGAGGAGAACCTTCAACTTATGCAGAAGCTGTAGCAAGTAAAGAAGCTTCAAATTGGTCGATTGCTATGCAAGACGATATTCAGTCTCTTGAGAAGAATTAGACTTGGAAGTTGGTCAAGTTGCCAGAGGGAAAAAAGGTTATAGGCTATAAATGGGTTTACAAGAAGGCATTCAAGG